GCGGGACCCCCGGGGAGGCGGCGGCGGGGCGGGCGGCTCCCCCGGCAGCCCGGCTCTGCCCGAGCAGATGGCACCGGGCGTCAGCGCTGGCGCGCTGCTAACTTTGTTCTCGGCGGGGCCCGGGAGCCGCCTCGCCCTCCGCCCCACCGAGGGGCGGCGGGGCCCGGGATCCCCTCCGCTCCCGGGCCACGCTGGCCTCCGCGGGGTCACGGTGACCCTGCCCGGGGTGGCCGCTGGCTCCCAGCAGTGGGTGCGAGGCGGGGGGAGCCGGGTGTGCCGCGTGGGACAGGAGGACGGGTGCCTTGATGGGGGTGCTGGTTGTGGCAGGACGGGGGGGGCCGTGCCAGCTCCGTGTCCCTTGGCCACCACCGTCCCGGCGAGCCTGCAGGAGGCGTGTTCTTGGGGTGCTGTCCTGGGGTGCTGGTAGCTTCCCCCCCCCCCGCCTCGGTGGTCCCAGGCGAGGTCCTGCATGGCTTTGGTGTCCCTCTGCGGAGGTGCTCCCCATCCCCAAGCCCATCGCAGCGGTGTCTGGTCTGGAAGGTGCCCGCCGGGTCACGCAGGGCCTTTGTACCACGTGTGCTCGGAGAGTGAGGATGCGGAACTGGAAGCAGTAACACCTCGGGGAGGCTCCTGGGGAGCGGGGCTAAACCTGGGCTGCCGCTGCGCCCTGGCCCCCAGCCCACTGGTGGGGCAACTGCACGGGGGCTCGGGGCAGAGTGAAACACCCGTGGGGCAAACCCCTGTCCTTGAGCACGGCCCTTTCCCCGGCGGCAGCTGCAGACAGGCTCCTTGGGGGGCTCAGCTTGTGGCTTTTGGGGTTTTTTTTCCTTTTCCCCCAAAACAGAGAAAGAAATTTGCTTTCAGCTTCAGAAATGGTACAGTAGATGGGGGTAAGGTTACGAAGAGACCCATGTGTGACAGGGCTCACCCCAGTGACTTCCGCCATGGTTGGTGATGCCGGTCACCCAGGCGTGACATTGCAGCTTCTCCCTGCTGGGGTGAGACACCCCACCCCACACCCCCCCAGCCTCCTCCTGGGGCTGAGCAGTGCTCCCCAGCCTTGGGGTGCCCTTCCTGGCCCTGGCATGCCTCTGCCATGGGCACCGAGGAGGAGGAGGTAGGGGTGAAGAAGGAGATCTTCGGGAGGGCACACCACCAACCTGCAGGCGAGCTGGATTTAGGGGCACGTGTGGTGTCTTCTCTGCAGTGCCAAGCTTCATTGGGGCTGGGGGGCTGAATTGTGTGGCGGGAGGGGGGCTCTGTCATGGGGGATACCAGCCAGGCTGGGTGCAGGAGGGGAGATGGGGCAGGGCCGGGGGCTGTGTTCCCACTGACACCCTGCCTGTGAGGGCAGATGGGAGAGCAGAGCTGCCTGCCCGGCTTCGGCCACAGCCTCTGCCTGTCCCCCACCTCCACGGGGACATGCGGTTGCGCTCCATATGCAGCAGGGAGTTGATGTGCACAGTCTCAGCCAGAGCAGGGCCATGAGCCCCGCTGTCCCCCGCCAGCCCCCTGCGCCCATCACTGGGGTGGCATCGTCAGTCCAGAGTAGGACATGCAGGAGCCCAGCAAGAGGGAGCAGCCCCTAGAGCAGCACCGGAGCCCGTCTTGGCCAAGGACACGCTGGAAGCCCCCCCGCCGCCACGGTTCAGGCTCCCCGTCGGCTGGCGAGCAGCATGGGACGCTGCTGTAGCCACAGGGCCCTTCGCCACTTGCTTTTCTCTCTGCCAAAAACAAGTGCTTCTCTCTCATTTGGTGTCTGTGTCTTGCATGGGGGGGTGGCTCTGTCCACGAAGTTGAGGGACAGTAACTGGGTAACTGGGAGGAGGTGGTGGGCTCTTCCTAGCCCTGCGCCCTCCCCCCAGGGCTGCATCTAGCCCCAGGAGACAGGGTGGGCACAGGTCTGGGTCCTGGAGCTTGCAGCTCCAGTCATCAGCATTACCGTCTCCGTGGGGAGGGAGCAGCAGGCTGAGCCGTGCGGGGACAGTGGCGCTGGGGTGGCTCAGAGTCACTTGTGCAGTGTGGGTGGCAGGGCTGGCCATGGGAAGGGTGGCCTGGCTCCCAGTGTGGGGGGGGCATGGGCAGGAGCCAGGTGGGCTGCAGCCCCCCCCCAGTGTGTCCACGGGTGCAGTGGCTGCCCTGGCCTCTCTCTGTGCCACTCCTCCCTTCCCTCTCCCAAAGCAGGTGGGGAGGGAGCGGGCTGGGGTGCTATTGCCCAGGCATGGGGGGGGAATTTGGGGCTCCTGCGGCCCTGCACAGCCCTGGGGGTTGGGGTGCCGTGACCCGCTGTCCTTCTCACAGGATCCAAGGTGCTGGTGTGTCACCCTGCCTGGAGCCTGAGGTCCCGTGTGCCCATCCGCCTCCCGACGTCACCAATGCGACCATGGGAACTGGCAGTGAATAGGCGGCCACCCTCTGCCCCTTTTAACCAGCGCCGTTTCTCGGGGGGACCCTGCAGCAGCCCCGACCACCTCCGGCGAAGGTACGGGCCGCAGGGCGGTGCGGAGCCCTGTCACCCATGGTGTGTGGGGACATGGGGCTAGTTCCGTGGTCCTGCTGGGGCAAGCCACTGGCTCCCAGGGGGCTTGGGGGGAGATGGCAGCAGAGAAGCACATCCACCTGGCCTGGCCGATGGGTCCCTGGGGAGCAGGGGTCCTTTTTGTGCTGAGGATGCGGCGGGGGGCACATGCAGGGTGAGCAGAGGAGGCGGTTCTGGAGCTCCCCAGCCAGGCAAGGAGCCTGGCTGGCCTGGCACGATGCCCTGAGCATCTCGCCCTGGGAGCTGGGCTAGCACAGACCTGCCTGTGGCCACCCTGCCCAGGGCTGTGCTGCCCCTGGCCGGGGGGTCACTCCTGCTCTGTTTCTCTCCCGCGGTGGCCCCGCAGCCCCCCTGCCAGGCGTCAGTGGGGACGACGCGACCGACCTCTGGCAACCCTGCTGGGCCAGGATGAGCCCCAGCTGCACCCTGCCTTCCCCCAGCAGCTGCCCGTCCCTGTAGATGAGCCCCGCGCCTACGCTCTCCCCAGCACGCCGCCACGAATGCTTCACCCGGCCGCTCACCCGCCCCACCAGAACCCATTCATGGTGGATCTGCATGACCAGGTAGGTGCTGCAGCCCCCAGCCCCAGTCCTAAGGGTGACCCTGTGGTGGCCCCGGGCTGGTGTCCGACGCAGTGGTCCCAAGACATGTCCCTGGGTCCCCTCTGGCCAGTTGCTTGCCGCTGGGAGCAGCCAGCCCTGAGGCTGCCAGTGCTTTTGTCCTCCGAGAGCTTAAACCGTGAGGTCCCCCTGCCAGCTTGAGTGTGCCCAGGGTGGCCCCTGCTCCCAGGGGCTGGGGACAGTCCCCTCATAGGGTTGTTCATGACACAACTGTCACCACCATCCACAGTGGTGGCGCTGGGTTGGAGGCCGTGCCAGCCTGTTTGCGGGGAGCAGAGAGGAGTCCAAAACCCCCCTCAAACCCAGTCTGTGCTCATCCTCCCTCTTCTGGCCACGCCAGTGGGATGGAGGTGCTGGGCGGCTGTGTCCCAGTGCCGGATGCTCAGCGCCCTGTTGCCACTCTGCCAAGACAGGGACAGCTCAGCCGGGGCTGTACCCTGACTGCCCTCGATGCCTCGTCCTCAGGTGCACCAGGGACCTGTCCCTCTCTCCTACACGGTTACCACCGTCACGACGCAAGGCTTCCCCATCCACGCCGGCCAGCACATCCCTGGGTGCAGCACCCAGCAGCTCCCAGCATGCTCAGTGATGTTCAGTGGACAGCACTACCCGCTCTGCTGCCTCCCACCCCCGGTGAGTCACAGCGGGGGACGCCCACGGGGGACAACCTGGGCTGTGGGTGCCTGGAGGTCGTGTGGGTACCCGAGCCCACTGGAGTGCAAGTTTCTGGGGGCACGGGGTCTGTTGGAGACCCTGGGGAGGGGGCAGGGGTGCAGCCATGCCCACGGTGGGTGTCTGACCCCCGTTTTTCTCTCTCCCCCACAGCTGATCCAGGCATGCGCCATGCAACAGCTCCCCGTCTCCTACCAGACGTTCCCCCCCATCATCTCCAGCGACCATTACATCCTGCACCCCCCCCCGCCGCCAGTGCCCCCCCACCAGCCACCCCACATGGCCCCCCTGGGGCAGTTTGTACCTCTCCAAGCCCAGCACCCACGCATGGTGAGTTAGGGTGTGGGGTACGGCCTGGGGACATGATGCGCCCCATGGCCCAACAAAGACCACCTTGGAGACTTGGCCTTCTGCAGCCCCCGTGGGTCTGAACTGGGAGAGATGGGTGGGATGCCCAGGGTGCCTCTATCTTGCTAGCATTGGGGGAGTGTAATTTGGGACACCCCTCCCAGCCTAACTTGTTTCCTTCACAGCCTCTGCAGAGGATAGACAATGATGTGGACCTACGAGGGGAGCAGCACCCCATCGCGGGCTTCACGTACCCCCCGTCCCACCACGCTCCCACGCTGTCCCCCTCCGTGCCGCTGCATTACCTCCCCCACGACCCGCTGCACCAAGAACTGCCATTCGGCGTGGTGAGTTCCTGTCTT